TACCTATTCTAATACCACAATGATAATAGTAATTTAGACAATGGAAACTGATTTTCAACATTAAATAATAGTGCTTTCTTTTATATTACCATGTGGTATTACGTACAGTAGGTACATACAATGTGTGTCCATGGATGTATTCTAGTCTATGTGATCTTATACTTTCTGATACAGCTCAAGATTATTCTAAAACTATATATTATATTAAAGAAAATCTTCATTTCTGTCATGTGAATGTGATTTTTTTTAGTATTGATACTTGCTCAAATGAGTATCTAGTTTCAATACTAGTTTTAAAATTGATTATGAACAGATTTTTTTATACTTTTAACAACCCCAAATGTTTATGTTCGAGAAATGTTTAAAGCCCTTTTATTTGTTTTTAATAAGAAAAAATAATCCAAAAGTGTTCAGTATGAGGAAGGAAAACAAACGTGATTCATTTTTTGTTATATCACCCAGCCTCATTCCCTTTTATTTATAAAGAAAGATTGCTCATGGGTAGTTCTAATCAACCCAAGACTTATAGACTCATAAGCCTGACTTGTCCATAGTGTTTCTCCAAAGACATTCCTCCTGACTCTTCACATGCATGGGCGAGTCTCATTATATCTTCATTATAACTCCATTTTGCATTGTAAATGGACCAAAACCTCAGAGAGCACCCATGATGAGATCGTCTCCATCCCTCGCCACAGACGTCATTGATGCTGTTGACCCAGAAAATGTCCCTGGAATAATCAAATATAGATTAAATGCATCTCCCTGCAAAGAAGAATCCCTGGATGAGGCTCAAAAGGCATTCTAGTGTCTGTAATCTGACAATACAATACTATATGTGTGCCTTATTCACTGATTTCATATCTAGTGTACAAAACTACTAAGGGATTTTCCAAGATCCAGAGATAATTTAGGACATTTTGATTCAGAGGGAATTAAATGTAGGCAGAAGATAATGTGGAAATATATTCTTATGTACTTATTATGCTATAGGAATAAAGCCTTGCTGAACCTGGATAGGCAGAGCATTGACCTAGACAGTACGCATACAGATTTTTCTCATTCTCAGTATGTGAGCGGGTCTCATGTGAAAGCTCCAAACCTTCAGAATTCCCTTACTGAGCTAAAGAGGCTGCTCTAGCACTGATTAATAGCTGCAGGTGCTGGTTTTAGGTCTTTTTAGGTTCAAACCAACTGGATTTAGACTTTGGAACTGGCAACCCAAATAAGAAACTTGTGGGGCTCGTTCTGCTTTCCAATTGGATAATGATTAAGAACTTATACACCAAATTATAACAACTTTAAACATGTTTAGATGGGTCATGTTTGTTTATTTTGAAGTTAAAATGCTACAAATCCTTAGCCAGGCTGGTGCCACCTAGTGCCTCCGCTCAATTTCATTTCTCTCCAGAGACTAGGTCAGGAATTGGAATACACTGGACGGTTTCCAAGAACCCTGGAAGTGCGAGTTCTGGCAGCAGCCAATCAGCAAAGAGCCATACATTCTGTGTTGGCAGCGATTCCTGAGATCGAGGATTTAAAGCCGGAATAAAGAGAATGTTTGGTGAATTTTATCAAAGGGAAAGACTTTATTGCCCTTTTTCCTTCGAGAATTGGGAAAAAACTTAATATACCAGTAAATAAAAAAAGTACCCGCCTACCGTCAAGCGAACGAATCCTAAGGTCAGACGGCTGTGAGGTCAGACGGTTTCCACAAAGTGAAACCTGCTGATGAATCAGGCTAACAAATCCTAGCTTTATCTTGACAATTATATGAAATCCACTATGGAGTCACTATTTACTTTGGACTAGTCCAGAGTGTCCAGATGAAAGAAAAAGACCAGCAATGATGAATTAAAATCAAACTAAAATGAAAATTATCAACCAAACATGAACCACAAAGAATCTAACTTGGACTTTTTAAAAAACTTGCCGATTTTGACATAGCTACACCAATATTGCGTCTACACCCGTGAGCCGGGGGAGCTGACAGGTATTCCATCACAGTAATGATAGAAATCTGAAAGTGGCTCTCAGCAGTCAAGTGCATCATGTCTCTTATTAATGTAGCACTCGCTTCCAATGTTCTCCGCTCTTTCTGCCTCTTCCACTTTTTTATCCATTAACTTTAAGGCCATATATCATCGTGCCTCCTCTCAGATCTCACTTGTTTTTTTTTTGGTTTATAGTTGTAGTCAGTGTCTGTTAAATTTTACAGGGTTTGCCTCCCACTTAAGACCTTTAAACGTCCTATAGTACAAAAAAATTGACTCTTGTGAGCTTTTAGCCATGTTAGAACGTTGTTATCTCCACAAAAACATACTCAGTTGTGTTTTGTTTTTATTATGATTTTAATGTATTTCTTATTCTGTAAAGCACTTTGAATTACTTTGTGTACGAATTGTGCTATACAAATAAACTTGCATTGCCTTGCCTTTTGTTTCAATCACACATGTTGCAGTAATCTTTTATTATTAGTCTGTCTACATCTCCAAAGCTCAAAATGTTCTGTTCCACCTTGTGATATCATGAAGTGGTAGTTTTCAAGTTAACGGCAATCATTTATCCTTTGTTCAGTATAGTTTGGAAATTCCAGGGCTTAAATCATCCAAATGATTCTAGTGAAGATGTATGGAGTTTAAAAACACAATGGAGCACTTCCTGGCATCACAAGGTGGAATGTTTTCAGTTTGAGAGAAGAACTAAACATGCATAATTTACGGGTTAAACATGTGTGAATGACAAAAACACAATTCCAGGTATGTTTTGGATGAATAAACAACATTATAATATAGATAAGAAAATAGCATAATATGGGCCCTTTAAATTAATGTCCAAAACAATCAGGTGGTGGACCCTCCAACAGAAATGTGGTAAGCAGACTATATTTGAATGACTCTAATCGACTCTAATGTTACAATTTGCCACTTGTAAACTTATGGATGGATGAGGGGGAGGCTTGCTAATAAAACCGGTTTGCATTTGCCTCTATCTTGGTGAGATGTGCGAGTGTGGGTGATGTAGGCAAAGAAAATACAGGATGCATTCCACTCACTTGGGGCCACTTCAGCTTTGTAGATATCCTGAGAGCAGCACTTTTTGCCTTGAAAAACTGAGTGGGACTAGCTACTGTGTATAGTCATTTTGTGAGTAAGACTAACAATTAAAAGAAAAGTTCTCAGTACTTGAATTTAGCTGCAAAGAAAAACAAACAAAAACATTTTCATGAAAATGTTGCTTTGTCTGAAATGTTTCACAGTATTCACAGTATCATGAAAGGAGCCATTACGTTATTGTTATAATGTTGTTTCCGTATCACAAACATACACTGAGTTGTGTTATGTTTCATTCACACGTTTAAACTCTGCATATTTACGCTGAGCTTTCCTCTCAAATGATAAACACATTCCACCTTGTGATGTCATGTGGTGATACAGAAAGTTCTCCATTGTGTTTTTAAACTCCATAAACCATCACTACACATTTGGATCATTTCAGCCATGGAATTGCCAATCTCTACAGAACAAAAGTTAAAAGGTAGTTGTCAACTTGAAAAGTACGTTTTAGAACATAACATCGTAAGGTGAAAAAGAGCATTTTGAGCTTTGGAAATGAAGACAGTCTAATAATAAAGAGTTACTCAAACATGTGTGAATGAAACAAAACACAACTCTGGGTATATTTTTGATGAAGTAACATTATAACCTGGCTTAAACGTGTGTAATATACAACCTTTAAATGTATCTCCATGGACAGCAACAGGTCCAATTACAGGTCAGATCTGTGAAGTCACTGTGAATGCATGTTTTCCAATAGATTTTTGAGCATGTGTAATTGAATAAAGGCAGGATAGACAATTCAATGTCATAGAGAGGAACATTTCAGCAAAGCAATTACAGCAAAGCAATTACATCACCGTGGAGAAAGACAGGTCCATCAGTCGCAACAAGTTGCACAGTGCACCTTTAACTACTGATATATGCTGTCTGATTGTATCATCTGTAAAAGAAAAAGAAAAGAAAACTACAGTTGTGAATATACCCAGATGCTTCATACTAACCTATTTTTAGAACACCTATGCATCACGGTACGCTCCCACACTGACACTGTTTGCGAAGTTTCACCTGGAGGCAGCCGAGTGGATTAGGACGCTCTGTTGTGAACCTCTGGAGGCATATGTGCTGAAAGGATGGCTAGTGGGGCAGAAGAATTGGATGCTCACAATAGACCTGGCATTCCACGTCCTGCGGCTTGGAGTACTGCTGTCACTTACTCCTGACATCCAGGCGCTCATTGTTCCTGGAGCTCACGGCCCTGTAGCAGATAAAGTCACCTTGAGGTAGGACAGTGAGGGATGCCAAAAGAGGACACTTCATGGCAGAGATGCAGAGAAAGCATTTAGTTTGACAATAACACTGAACAATACACTGACAGGGTTCTCCTAGGTGCGAGTGAAGGATGTGAAATAGAAAGCTTTATCATGCCAGATTGAATTTATTGACTTTATTTACAGTACACAATAAACACCAATAGCCTTCTGGACCACAGCTCACTGGTTTTGTGTGCACTGACAACTGCTTTTGTTGAATTGTCCATTAAATACTACTGAATAAATTCAAAATTCACTGGCTGAATGAATGTATTCCAAATGATTCAATTACAAAGTGCACAATACACAATCTGTAGTATTTATTGACGATAAGCTTACTGTTTAGCTGATATTTGGGAAGAGGGTAGGTAGTAGATTCATTGGAATTCAGTGCGTGGAGCTCAGGTTCTTGAAGTACATAAAAGTTACTTGAGCGCCTCGTCTTCTTTTTGTGGAAAACTTCAGTGGGAGTGCTCTGCCACATCAATGATGATTCAGTTCACATAAATATATAATTTAAGTTCCATCCAACGCAGCAAGTCAGCAGTTCCCATGTTATGAGAAGAACTTAGTGACACCTGTCCCACAGTCCTCCCTCATGTATGTCACATTGTATCCCACGGTGTCAGTGCTATACATGCCCAGATTTGGACAGGTAGGCGATGAGTGCCACTACCACGCCCACATACATCCCTGTTCCCACTGTGATGGAGAGCGCAGCCAGGAATAGTGCTCTCCGAGAGCTCATTCCTGCTCTTGAGAAGTCTCCCTTTGAAATGGCCTTGCCGGTCTGACAAAACAAAGCACACAGAAAGAGAGAGAGTGAACTAAGCCAGTGTTACTCATCACTGCTGAGTGTATGAGTAGGTGTAAAGCTGTGGTTTAAAGAGCAAAAACAAGAAATGCTCTTGGGGAGCCATTAGTTACCATAGCAATTAGGTCATTATGTGTCTGACATTGACAAATGTGTTGTTTTGGTGTTATGGTTTGCCATCAAAAATGTGCCCGGGCTTTCATTTATTTGTTCTTTGGACCTATTATTATTCCCCAGTTTCATTTCCTGATATAATTACAGCCCAAGGTTTAGCTATATTTACATATGAAGCGTCTACACAGCACATTACTGTCAAAATACACTGCCGCTGACAATATCTGCTATAAACTCAGACCTCCACAATAATGGTGTCGTGAACAGAATACAAACGACTTGTGTGTAGTATGAACTATGTAATTTTACATGGCCAGTCATGTGTGAGATTCAGCATGTGGAATATAGGTTGTGGTCGCACCTGTCTGCTCTGGTGTACTGACTGACCTTAAACGGAATGTGGAATAATCAGAACTAATGGTAGGCCCTTACCTTGTGAGAGTAGTAAAAGGCAACAATGCCCAAGGGCCAGAAGCAGCAGAGCATGGAGAAGATGGCGAGACCCAGGTAGTCCCGCGGGGGCAGCACAATGAAGTTATCCTCACTCTCGCTATCACTGGAGCTGTCACTCTGAAAGACAGCAGCAGATAAGGAAAAATACTTGTCGTCACAGTCTATATGTTGTGTAAGTCAAACAAATGTGGAGAGCAGTGAGCCTGAGTGTGACACAATAACACATAGTAAACGTGCTATTGTGCAACTTGGACATCTTCGCAAAGGTGACATCTTGTCCATGGCAAGCTGTGTGCCCTTGTCCATCTAGTCGCCAGGAAAACATGTGCCTAGTGGTGCGAAGCAGATTTGGAGCACTGTCAACAGGCATGAGCGGGCTGACAGATAACAGCGGATTAACGGATTGGTCCATCATTGCAGGCTGACAGGGGAAACAGCCAGAAGACGCTGTCATTTATGTGCTAAATTGCTTCTAGTGCAATGAGAGACCTCCAGTGTCTCTCCTGCCTCTGTGATCCAGCACAGACAGCGGGCGCTCAACAGGCACAAATACAGTGTCAACACAGAGCAAGAAGGGCCACAGGGGCAAAGCAGGCTAATGAATGATAGATGCAACGCCACTCAAAGGCTGCACTGGCCCAATGTGCTCGTACGCAGGTGACCTTTAAAACATGTGTGGACGTCTCCCGGACACATTGGGTGTTTGTCCAAATAAATACTCAACAAAACAGCCTGGTCTCATTTGTTAGTCTTGTAGCCTGCAGGGATCAATCAATGCACAGGACACGAAACAATACAAAACAGAAATCAATAGAGAGGGAAACAAAGGAACCAGACACTTTAAAAGGTAATTAAAGTACAGCTTGGGTGCAGAAAAACAGGTGATGTGTGCCTTTAATCTGAGAAAAAAAAATCACTCATTAACTATTTTATGGATGATGAGGTACAGTTTGCAGAATCATTTTAGTACTAGCATAAAATTCACTGTAATAAACCAGAAGTTAACTAAAATGCTTAAAATGTACACCATACTGTATAATGCACATTTATCAATTTTGATAATTTATTGTGGATATTTTCCAAAGCCCTACAGTGGTATTCAATTGCGTGTAATAATTGGTAGGTGGAAGGATATCAACCAAAAAGATCTTTCAAACTTCAAAATTTTGATCACTTCTACCCTGTAATATTGGTCCTTGCCCAACCAACTGAAAATGTACTTTCTACTACTCACTTTCTAGAACGTACAATGCACCCTTTTATTTATGTATGTATTTGAGACAGGGACAGCGCACAATTTTTACATTAACCTTGACAGGAGAGATTTTGTAGCATCAGTGCTAATTTCCACCTGTAGTCCCTGGGCAGGTTCATTGATTGATTGTATTTAACTGACCTTAGCTATCAACTGTTCTTGGAGACCTATGTAGCATGTTTTGGGTTGACAGGGGAAACCCATCCAGACACAGGGAGAAACATGCAAACTCCACAGAGAAAGGCCCAGGGGACCCGGGGATCACATTACAATGTTTCCTCATCAAAAACTTACAAGTTGTGTTTTGTTTTTTTCACACATGATTGAGCTCACACTCAAGTGTTAATTTAGCATAGTATAGAACCTTTACTTTGCCAATTGCAGCACCTAAACCAGCTCCAGACAGAGAGAGGTTTTGGCTGGGGACCTTGTCCTGCTCCCACACCACTCCGGTGCTCTGTAACTGATGGAGCGCCAACTTTTCCACAGTGCCCTTAACAACAGCTCTCCCAGGTCTTGTTATAGTTGTTAGGAGGGGACAATCCAGGACACACACACACATACACACACACAGCTGCACCCTGTTAGCAGAGCAGTCCCAGTATCCATCCACCCACCTCTGGATTCTGCATTCTCTGCAATTTATTTCCTCCTGTCACACTGATGTTAAGTACTTCCGAGCACAACATGTTCACTACAACTTTCACTTTTCTAAGAGTAAAAATAAAGAAGAAAACAAGGTAAGAAAAAAGTCAGATTTTTTTTACATATTTATCATGAGGAAATGTCCAGCTATTCCAACAAGGTTATTTCTTTAGCTACAACTTTCATAACAGACGTTTCTGTACTGTACTATCACCTTGAACATAGAGGTATATATAGTTAAAATTGATGCATGTAATGAGTCGATGACCTTGCTTTCAACTTGAACTTTTGATGTTAAATAAATAATCATATTTTGTAGAATTATGTATTACCCCTAAATACACTTTGAGAAAACAACAGAAGGAGCTATATTTCCCTAAGTATGAAAGCTTGGTTTTGGTTTTTGTTATAACTTTGAGATAAGATAAAGGGGATAAATATAGAAGAAGTAAAAGCAGCAGAGAGATATAGGAATACATTAAAAAATCCTATCTCATCTCTTGAACTCTTCATATTGTTATCTCAAGTGCCCGTAATTACAACTAGCACACACATATCCATGCCTAGGATGTGTGTGTGCAGGCATAAAACTGATGAATACATAATGGAGTCAGTTCAGGTAACAGTTTTTATTGTATATTAAGATTTGACAACACTCTCATTTAGACTTGCCTATTAAAAAGTTGGAGGCGCATATTGCAGTTTTCTAACTTTGTGAAGTTGTTATATTGAAGACTTTGTGCGGAGTTTGAACCACCAGAGCCCTCCTTTGCCCTTAGACACACAGGTGGGAGAAGTCTGGAAGCGCAGGTGCTGAGACAGGTCTAATATCCCAGTGAGAAAGCCCTCTCTGACTCTCGTCTGAACACTCTTCATCAGATTCATTTGCTCTGTTCAATTGACATGGAATAACTTTGGCTGCAGGCTCACCTGCACAGCCACACTCTCATGGGTCCAATCTGCCTTAATATGCTTGAGGCGTGGCATTACTTGTGGCATTAATGACGACTGGTGCCACGTTTCCATCTATCTGCCAGGCCTGCGAGTGACAAGAGGCAGCGCGATCATCATCCCAGAGAGCCTGCCATGCTTCTTCCTCTGCCAGCTCAGAGCTTGGGGTATTTCACAAGCATCCCTGGGTGAAATGAGATTTTCACCACTTCTGAAGAGCCTTTGCTCTTTTGCTGTCTCACTTCTCCTCGGAGGATGTCGTTATGGATTTAAAAGAACAACTGCCTGGTGAGATAAAATCAGATGTGTCATTTTCTTTGAACACAATTATGGTGAAAAGCGTACAATTATCCTGCACTCGATTTGAAAGATACTGGTAAATTGACCGTTTGTGGAGTGTAGAAAATGTGTGATCCACACTGGCAGACTATTAGACAAGCAAATGGAATAATACGCATTTGTGCCACAGCATTTGGTTTAGACTAGATGCCCCTGACACTTTCCTTTAATAGTGTTTAACTGAAAGAGCAGAGAATGCCTTATTATTAATACTCTGAAAAATGCACAAGTGAATCTTTAGAGCAATTTTAATTTTAGAACATTTGGAACGCAACACAATGACATTGTGTTTGTGCGTGTGTGTATGCGTAAGATGAACATTCAAATTTCACTCTGGTTTTAATATTTTTCAACAGTAATATTTATACTTTAAAGATAAACCATTTGTGGTTGGGATCTGCAACCTGCTTTTATCCCAGAAGGTGTTATTGCTTTTCCTGGAATTTTTCCAATTTATCTATCTTGCATTTATTTACTTACCGTTTTTTTGGTTTTTTGTTTTTTTTTTTTACCTATGAATGCCTCTGCATTCTGATTGCGACTGGGGTCATCTCATCTAACTTGACCTGAGGATATCACCTGCTTCATGGAGATACACAATTTAATGCCATACAGTGGAATATTCCAGGCAAAGCAATAACATCTCCATGGAGACAAGCAGGCGGAAGACTCTCCTTGAGAAAATTTGCATAGTGCATCTTTATCGCATGCAATAAATAGAAATTGTACAATCAGATTAAATGGCCCATATATGATGAAATGCTCTCACCTCATACTCAGGGACATGCTCCTCCTCCACATCATAGGACACTGTCTGGATCTTCACGTCCTTCTCCCCCTGTGTGTTGTCCAGGATGATCTCAGTGTTGACAGGATCTGTGTCCTTACTCTCTGTAAACGTGGTCTCAAAGCTTTCACTCTTGGAATCTTTACTATGTAGGCTGACATCATCCTTGTACAGAATGAAGCCCGGTTTGTAAAAGGCCTCCACAGCGACGTGAAGAGAGGTGGCATCAAGGTACTGCTGAGCCTTGTGTTTGCCGCTAGTTCCAGTGTAGTAGTATCCGATGAGGCTGTCCTGATAGGGCGGACCAGTATAGTCACACTGGTAGCCCTGGTAGTCATTTTGCACCACTTGACGATTGGTTTTGTCCAGTAGTGGATTCTGCAGTTCACTTAAGCTCTCCATCACCAAAGGTTAAATGTTGCTCTTGTAGAATGGTGGTATCCGAGGATGAGTCAATATTTTGGCAGCTGAAAAGAAAATATAATGCATTTAAAATTCAACAGAGAACTCACAGTAATATAATTCAAGAAGAGTACATTATTCAAACAGTCCTAGATCGATTCAGTTGGACCAAATCATAACCAATTACTTTAATGAGATTCTTTATGCTGGCTTTTTTTTTCCCCAGAAGTACACAACAGCTACTGTTACCTGTAGGTAGAGCTGTGTTGACCAGTATTGACATCTTAACATGAGTTGATTGCTTTGAAAGCTATTATGGAGGAATCAATAGGTCCTCTCTGTGTTACTATGTCTTCTTAGGATTCACTGGCTCCCTCTCTCTGTCAACAGACATTCAAGTAGAAGAGGTGCATTGGTAAATATAAATGCCCCCAGTGGATTATGTGAAAGTGAATTGGTTTCAGTCAGGGTATGTCTCAAAGGGATAGCCCTGCAATTAAATGGTAACTGAGCAGAATGTACTACATGTAAATCCTCCATAGTTGTTCAAATAGGCTCATGTGATGTTATATCTAGCATCTAGCTTGAGCAATATAATGTATAAAGTGGTTGCTATAAAGGGCTGCAAAATGTATCATAATTTAATAGTAAGCACACTATAAATGACCGCAATTAACACATTGCTATCGTTATCGTTATCTAAATAACCTAAGCTAATACTTAGAAGTTAATTTCTCAATTTTCCATTTATGTTAAAGGCTCTGTATTTGATTTTTTTCCCCTGATGAAGGAATTTAGCAAAATTTGTCTTGCCCCAGTGCAGTCAGATTGCATAAGCAGTTCTTCAGGTCAAAATAAATCATCATAATCTGCATCTAGTTATAAAGCGTTTTATTGTCCGATAACCTGGAACTCCGCTATGGTCTCTTAATGTTGTGAAAACAGCTTATAAACTCATTGTAGTGAAAAATTAGGATGCTTGAAAAATGCATGATAGAAGTGAGGAATAACTTTTAACCAATGAAAGGACAGAAAAATCAGGTACAGAGCCTTGAATTCTCCAGGGTGTGTTTAAATGTCCACTGTGAACTCTTCTATTTACATAATAATACACTAATCTAAGGCAATTACAATGTTTGTCCAACCATCATAATAAACTATTTTCCGAACCCAAACAACCCCAGTGTACAGACATCTCTAATGCCCTCTTATGATTGCTCAGAGCTGGCCTGGAGTTACCATGGTCAGATAAGGTCGGGAAGCCCTTGTGACCAATTTAAAGATTCTTGCCATTTCAACAATATATAACATTGCAAGCTTTTAACCAGCCAAATTTCCCTTGAGTTGTGGGCCAGACATAAAACTATATTGTCTTCAAGTTCTTATGCAATGGACTAGACTTGCAGACAGTACACAATAGAACAATGGGAGCAACAATGGACTTTCTGCCAAGAGCAATTTGCAACTCAGAAGAGGCCAGATCAATTTCAGTTGCATCTCAACATGAGTAATTGTTGCACCCTGGCCACCTCTATGAGAACAACATGGCCCCTGTGTCCGAGACTTGAATTTAATGTGAGGGGAATTAATCTACCTCCAAAAATCAGCATTCCTCTCACAAGCTCTCACCACACTGACTGAACCACAAAATCACCATCTGCCGTATAAACACAACTGTTGCCTCTATATCTGATCGGCTTCCTTGTCTATAAGAAGACTGGTGTCAGGTCATGACGGGTGCTGCTGCGTTTAACATAGGGTGCTGGCCTGGGTGGTGGAGTTGACCGAAGAAAAACAGTGGAGTATTTTGAAAGACTGGGTTGTGATGATAAGAAATAAGCAATGAAATGAGCCAACATCATTAATTAGATCTTAAAATGGACACGCAGCTTATAATTGAATATAATTTATTACTATGTGTTTCCTTTGGCTTAAGTTATAATCATTTCCTTTTAATTTTCTTTATTTTATTTTTTTCTAACACCTGTTTTATAAAATAATCCTGTGCAGGAGGGTGCACATAGGCTATAGACTCCTCCACATAGCAAAACAAGAAACATATTAATTTTACATAATACATGCATAATTTATTTAGTGTATGTATACATTTATTCGCCCTTGCATATGCAATGATGACACTACACCCTCCAAGGATGTATCCCAGTACAGCTGACCTTTGAACTCTGACCAATGAATACATTAGAAGTTATTCTAATCCACCGTGCAGAGGGAGAAATAACACGGGCCAGTGTTAGACAGCGAGTCCAGTCCATATAGGCTACTCCTGTTCTATCGGGTTTTCTGCAGACTCCAGCCTCACGTGCTTCTTGGTCTGAGACCCCACTCTCTCCAGATAACAGAGAATTCCATTACACACCACATTAGACAACAAAAACCACGGGCCAAATCCACAAATTATTCATCTGACACGAGATTGGACTTCTTGGCAATGAATTATGGGGGGATACATTTCGTACTCCTACCCAAGATCAAGACCCTGGTTTAGTATTTATGGTATTTTTTGCAGGAATGCTATTTTAAGATTCCAATTTCTCTTGTGTACTTATCCCACCAGGACACCAAGCCGCTAAAATCTCTTCCAAACAAAAATACAAATAAAGTCGTCAAGTTTTCCTGTTGCGGTGGTGTGGGCTAAATAATCTTCAGTAAAAGCCAGTTCAATTTTAAAAAGTTGAGTGTTACCTGTGTTAGAAAAGCCCTTCCTTTTATTCATCGTTCCTCGACGCAAATAACTCGACGCGCACGGACATCTTCCTCCACCATCACCAGGATATGACCATTGTTTTACGACGTCCGTCACGCAGTTGTTCCGTGTTTTGCGAAGAGCACGGACTTCGCTCCTCCGCCTGCCATGGCACCACCGCTGCTGCTTTGACACTGACGGGACTTTTCGCACTGATCCCAGGCGCCAAACAACTCCAGTGGCTGGTTCCTCTCCGCGCCCTGATTGGCTCCGGTCCGGAGGTGCGCGTTCGCCTCCACTCTATTTGTGAACACAGGATTGACACATCAGGACTTTCCGATTGTCCCTAAATTATAGTGTATATCATGGTGCTATCTCTCTTACTAGACTCCTGCGTCTCTATACGATCCCTCTTGAGTAGTGAAGTGATTTATTTTTATCCAAACTGCGCGTCTTCCCGCTTCCCACTGGAAATAACATTGTAGACGTATCACAAGCTGTTTCGCTGTTGTATCCCGAGAACGCCCACAGAGCTACAGGCACAACACTAAACAGAGACGATGATGCATTGGAATCTAGTATTTATCAGCAGCATAAACACTGGGATTACCCTCTTCCAAAACATGTAATTTCACCTTAATCCGCAATAACAAGCTCAACAAGAACTGTGCGTGTTTGTAATGAGTTTCTAAATATAGCCCGGGAGTAAGCCACTGTTAAATTCTTTGCACATTTATATTTGATTAATATTTTAAAACAAATCCCATGCATTTATCACAAGCCTGCCAATTTGGTTTTGCCTTTAACCACCCCTCTACTAAGCTGCTTATAATTCCCTGCCACAATTTATCACTGCAAACACACTTTACATAATAATAATAAGGATGTTCTTCCACCAAACCATGATACTGATAATCGGAAACTGTAGTTTTTAAACACAAAAACAATTTGACTATATAATTAAAATAACATATAGTGGATTTCAAGGGACCATCAAACAAATGGGCTTCATACAAACAGATTTACACATGGGTAGGCTAATCCAGATCTTAAGTGTCTAACCTTGAACCAAATCAGGTCTAGAGGTTTAATACAAGTCTAAATTAGAGTTAAAAGAGACTAAACCAGTTTAAAATCACCAGGCCACATCCAATCCTGTGACTCAGTGGTTAGAAAACCATTTCTCCACTAATCCTTAGCTCTGACTCTGAATGCAGCTGATGCGTTCATGGCCGAGACCTTGCCTATGGATGATAGTGATTTGTGTGGGGGTAATTGGTGGTAAAAAAGGGTGTATAGGCACAAATTGGCATCCACAATTCTGTCAGTCATCCCCGTAGCAGTTGTAGCAAGAAGTATCTTACCGGAATGAACAATGAGAAACTCACAATACAAATTCAAAAAAGTATTATTATTAAAACTTTAGGACCAAATAGAGCACGATTAAATAAGGAATTCAGCGTACCACAGTTTGAGAACCAGTGAAATAAAAGATCAGACTTGGCCAAGCAAATTCACAGAGGAGATGGAGGAAGCTCAAGTCATGCCAGATACGTAAAGACTAAAAGCAGGGATGCAAAAAAATCTAAAGGGTGATATGAAGCCACACACGCGGGTCCATATCTTATTCAGGAGGAGCACTCTGTTCCACGCACTCATAAAAATGTCTCAAGTTAATAATGTGTGCGCCGGGCCTGTGTCACTTTCACTGCGAGATGCATTAAGGTGTTGATGGACACTTTATGGGAGGGACATGGGGCTGAATTCAGAAGACAGTCGCACCACCCCTTTCTCTCTCTTCTTCTCTTTCTCTCTCACTCTCTCTCTCCATCCGAGTCACCTTGTGTTCTCTTCACAGGCCCGTGCGGTGTAACAGCCGTGATGGATACTGTTCCCTCAGGAGACGAGTATATTAGAAGGTGGGGGCGCAGAAGCTGCACCAACCTGTATCCTGCTCCTCCCTCTCTTCATCTTTGTCGCCATCCATTCGCTGTGACATCCATCGGGTTTATAATGAAGATCTGTAGCCTAGAATCTCCCAAATCACTAGGCGACCAATGGTGTCACATACAAAAAAGGAGAATAGGAGATCTCACGTCTTGGCAGCTCTCTGTAGATGGGCCCGTGAATATTTATGTCTTTTCTTGTGCTCCATTTCCTGCACTATTTTTAGCCACTGTGCGTCCCTAAAAAGCAGATGCGCTATTTGTCAAACATTTCTGGAAACAAAGTATTCATTAGAGTTGAACAAGCAGGTAATTATGTTGGCTCTGCTCTTTAATATGCTAACACCTACCTATTTGATTCACATTAGTCCAAGCCTTTGATATCGTTGCCAGTTCTGACACCGTGAACTTTCCTAAGGTCCATTAACCAGCGCTAATCATTTAAACTCTTTTGGGAATTAATCAACCTAATCCGATTGGCAAAGAAAGTACCGAACCACTTAATTTGATCTGGCTTTTGTAGAAGGATGGGAGGGGATTTAAGCGGCTTTCCCCACATGGCCATTTGTATGTTATTTCCTGTTTGATTAAAAGCTGGGGTAGCCTGTGAAGAAGCATACACTATTATGAGCGGCCCATGGGACACGGGGAAACCAGATAGTATGTGGTTGTCAGGGATTGTGAATAACTAGGGCTCCCACTTGCAGCATAGACACTTTCATCTATAGGTCCATATGCTCTATTTTACATAAAGCCAGCGTGCGTTCTTACTGTTTTAGTGTCGAGGCAGGTGATACCCATCCATTTGGAGAAGGAGGTAGGCAGAAGAAAACAGCAGGACATGGTTACGGGGTGGTATAGATTCATCCACAGGAGGTAGAGCAAAGGAGTCTGGGCAATGGCACAGCTGAAGTCATCATCCAAGGAGCCTGGAGCAGAAAGACAAATGGTCAAGGGAAAAACACAGTGGATTCGGTGTGTGCTAGTTTATAATGGTGCAAACTCACCCTGTAGAAATGAAATCATGCTGAAATAGTGGATATGCTTGAGTATGAGAAAATATGTTCATGTGGTGGTAACTGATCCTACAGCAAGGCAGCATTCATAAGCCACACTTGTAGAGAAGGTTAATAGCTAATAAAGAGGCTACATATATTGAACATTGGTATTATTATGTAAACATAGGCTCTATTGCATCCTATATTAAAGGTCCTTTACTATGTCCCCAGGCCTTCAGTTGTAATTTGTTTTGTGTGCTTTAAATTCTTTTCCTGGCATGCCTTGATTCCTGCTGTGGGAGCCCTTGCCCGTGATTGGTGCCATTTTGTGTTCGTGTGTGTGTCTCTTTCCTGTCAGTCACTTGTTTTGCACTAGTACGTGTTTGACTTTTGTTGGTTTTGTTGAGATACTGGTTTAGTTCTGTTTTGTGCCTTTTTAAAAAAAATTTGGTCACTCGATTCTGTTTGTGCGTTTATGTGGTTTACACTTGTGTTTTTGTTTTGTGCGTGTCCCTTTGTTTAACCTCGTTTTTGTGTAAGCCTGCGTGACACAAAACCGTGTAATTCTGTTGTTTTGTTTCTTAATTTTGGTTATTTTCTGTACATATTTTAGTCTGTTTTGTTATTTTAACTTTTACATCCCTGTTAATTAAACATTATTTAATTTATTCCATTATCTATCTTGTTTTTTTGTTACTTCCCTCACTCCAACGAGCTGGGTCGTAACAGTCCTACATTACGCAAATTGGATTTTTGTGAGCTTCAAGCTGTTATAATACTGTTATGTCCTCAAAAACATACCTGGAGTTGTGTTTTGTTTCATTCACACGTTTTAGTAACTGTTTATTACTAGTCTGTGTATGTCTACAATGCTTAAAATGCTCTGTTCCACCTTATGATGTCACAAAGTGGTAGTTTTCAAGTTAGTTTTCCAAAACAGCTACCTCTGTCCTTTTATCTTTTATTTAGTTGAGATTCCAGGCAATTCCAGGGCAGAAATTGTCACATAGAAACAGAGGGAGGCCCCAAAATGCAAGACCGATGTTAAAGTTCTTTAATAACAAACAAGGAACGATCCAAAAATCCCAAATTCGAAACTAAGCTGTCATTGTCAATATCTTGTCTTGTCCGTCATGGCAGTTTAGTTTTGAATTTTGGATTTATGGATTTTTGGATCTTTATTTGTTTGTTATTAAAGAAGTTTAACAGCAGTCTTGCATTTTGGGTCCTCCCTCTGTTTCTATGTGACAGAAATAATCTAAATGATTCTAGTGAAGGTGTCCCTTTTTAACACAGTCTAAAAATGTGCTACAAAACTTGAACTTGTAAAAAAAAAAAGTACTAAAATGTGAAATGACATTAACTTTGATGTGCACAGCTGCAGTTCTCCTTCCCTTAATGTTATTTTATTTAATGGATCGAGCTGAGGTTTAAAAGCAGGAGGTGCTACAAAATCCCTCATAAAGTCCAGTTTGTTTACCATAAAACACGACTATCAGGCTGCTGCAGGATTAATCTGTCAGAGCAGTCGCGCTAAGCTTCACTGTATTTATTCACTGGGATCGAATACACAGGCGAGACAGACTGTAGGGCATGAAAAACAAATTAATTGAATGGCCTTTTATATCCAGTGTAAGTGAAAATGTGTTGAGCTTCTAAGGTAGGCTGTCAGAAAATAACATTACAGTCACTGAATGCCAGCGTTACAAGAGGCAATTTCATGAACGCGTTTCAAAGTTGCACACTGCGTGACTTTTCAAGGTCTACGGTACAAATGTTCAATCAGAGAATAAACGGCATGTGTCTGGGTGACTGTGCAGTAACAATGAGTGTATTGAGAGTCCCGGGGGACCAAAAGCTCCCCTACGCTGTCCCTATTATCCAACACACCAAGGCAATATGTGTCAAATTAGCCAAGAAGGCTCTATCAGCAAGGTAAAAGGTCACAGTACTTCTTTGTATGTGCACCTATAAGCTCCTGTCCTCTTAGCTGTGCATTAAATGTGCTAAGTGTGCAGGCTGGGAGAGTGGAGAGCCGACCAGCTATAGTTAGCGTCACTCATATCTGGAGTCGCTCTCACACAAGCAAACGAACGAAGACAGCGGGGAGTTTCTCGACTTCTTCACACATCAGCGCCACTGTACATCTGCGAGAGACACAGTGCGCGCATTAATGGCATCCCCCTGTGTGGTGAGATTTGAAAA